GAGAGAGAGAGAGAGAGAGAGAGAGAGAGAGAGAGAGAGAGAGAGAGAGCAAAGTAGTGGGCGCACGCGGGGGGTAGAAGGTGCACACGCACGGAGAGGGAGAGAGAGAGAGGGAGAGAGAGAGAGAGGGAGAGAGAGAGAGGGAGAGAGAGCAAAGTAGTGGGCGCGCGCAGAGGGTAGCCGGCGCGTGGGTGATGATATGGACAGTGGATGATGATGGTGACGACGATGACGACGACAACGACGAAGGATGACATCATGATGATGGTGCCCACGATGACGAAGGATGACATCATGATGATGGTGACGACAATCACAACGACCGCGACGGGGACTACGATGATGACGACGACAACGGCAATGATGATGATGATGATGATGATGGTGATGGTGATGGTGATGACGATGACGACGATGATGATCATGATGATGATGATAACGATGACGATGATGATGATGATGATGACGATGGTGATGATGATGATGAGGAGGAGGAGGAGGAAACCCCTGAAATGCAGCCCACCCTCAACTGATGAATTTCCTCCCCATGGCCGGTGCAGCCCTGCCATAACAAGCACTTTCCAAGAAAAGTAACTGCCATGAATTTTTTTTCTAGAAAACTAGCGTACAAAAATCCACATAGCCTCCACGTCTAAGATTTTTCAATGCTTCTTCTGAGAACGGAAAATCACTGAAGTTGGAGTGCTTTTTCTGTTGGCCCACAAATGGCAAAGTTGGGAATTTGGCTTTCGTGTGAGTGTTCTGCTTTCTGTGAGAGTGCTCACTCACTCTCTGATCATGGATGCTATGGACGAACTCGCTGCAGAAATATGCACTATTCAACCACATAGCAGAGTGGAGTAGAAAAATTGAAAGGGGGGGGATGGGGGGGGGGGGTGAGGAACTAACGGAGGCAGTCAGGGTGTGTTGATTGATTGGATTGAGTGGTCGATTGATTGAATGATTGATTGATTGATTGATTGGTTGGTTGGTTGATTGTTTGACGTGATTGGTTGATTGATTGAATTGATTGGTTAATTGACTGACTGATTGGTTGGTTGGATTGAATGGTTGGTTGATTGATTGGCTGGTTTATTCGTTGATTGTTTGGATCGACTGATTGATTGATTGACTGGATTGATTGGTGAATTGACCGATTGATTGCGTGCACACGTGCTGCGGACGGCAGTCACAGTGTGTCACGCTCATGCGCGCGCAAGCACGTGCGCACGCACGTCAGGTGGGAGAGAGAGAGAGAGAGAGAGAGAGAGAGAGAGAGTGTACATGCATGCGCGCGAGGGTAGGTGTCCACAGCCTGGGGGGAGGCGACCCCCCTACAATCAATCAATCAAAATTGAATCAGCCAACCAACCAACAAACATTGAATTTTTTTCTGATTAATTGATTTTGGGGGGATCCCCTCACACACACACACACACACGTGCGTGCGTGCACTTCGTGTTTGTGGGTGGGTGTACGCAGGGGGGGGGAGGGGCGACCACCCCCGCAATCAGTCAATGGTTGCTTTTATAAATACGGTTTATTTATGATAGACTTCAAGAAGAATCTAGGAAGGACATCAGCAACAACATGTTTTTCAATTCAATTGATCATCCTTCCAGGTATGCCACCTAACAGGGGAACTTCAGGGATAACGAGCAGCCGCAAAGAGCTATGGCCGAAGCGCGCATACGCACATCACCCCGACCAGCCCTACCCAAAGAACGTCGAACAATCATCGGACGTGAGATGAGCTACCAAGACGTCGCAAAGTCGGGCTCCTTGGATTGGATTGCGGTTGCACTCCCACCTTACACCAGTTCCAACGGCAACGTGCCAGGACACCACACAATCCAACACAGTCTGCATTTAGTTCGGTGGCACAAACCATAACTAATATATTGCACCTATACAAGCAAGAAAGCCACGGTTCCATCATCTCTTTGCTTTTGTAAATATCACCTTCTCAATTATTATTCATTCAAACTAATACCAGAACAAGGCCAGCGAACCACACAAACATCCGGAACAGAGATGATGCTGGAAGCATCGAGGCCCATCCACTTTCTTATGCCCCGGCAAACATTCCATCTAGTAATAGGACACAATTGTCAATTTCTGGGACCCACAACCACCATGTGATCCAGCTCAGGAGGGCCCAAACTTATGCAGGTAATCAGTCAGCGGGCAAAGTACTCTGTCAGCCCTGCGGTTTTCTGATAAGCACACGGTCGCTCAAACTTCCATCTCTTGAAGTCGCTGGATCATCGCCCCCATGCTATAGTCATAGTTCCATTCCGATGGATTCACTTCCGAATCCTCAATGCTTACTCCCGCAGATCATTTGTTCTGAAAGCATCTCCTTCTCTACTGCCCCGCATTCAAGAGCTTCTTTCATCAGAGGCATGCTGTTTCTGGTTTGGAGAAAGGATATAACTCATCTGCTATGTACATCTGCATCGAACACAAGGCTGTGGAAGACAGCAATGATGCATGTAGTTACATTTCCGGTTCTCTTCGCTGCCTGGGACAGGTAGTCGTGAGGAAAGGTAGTGCGGCGGGTTCAACGGCACTACTACTGCTTAGTACATGACAACTGTCTACTAGAGCCTCTGCCGTCCAGGTCCAAATGCTAAATGCTAATTGCCATTTATCAAGGGTGTCTCAAGCTTTAGGGTTTCAATGACAGAGACCCTTTTCCCCGCCTCGGGCATAGTCCCAATCTTCGAAGGCATTCGATGACAGAGACCCTTTTTCCCCCCTTCGCCCAGTTCTAGATTTGTGTCTCAAGTCGGCTGCGGGAGACTGTGCTCCTCCGTATTCTGGTATCCCTTTCCCTTTTTCTCAATCAATTGACATTCAGACCCTTTCCATCTCAAGCGAACGGACTTGGCGAGCCGGTCAAGGTTTGTAACTTCAGGCCACACCACTGCTCAACATTCCACACGCATTTGAACGCTTTCTGGACCAGGTGCATTCGGACGAGACCATCATGCTGGATGCACATAGAGCGTTGTCTAGTGGAGCGAGTCCCTTTCTACCGAATCCCGATAGCATTTTCCCTCCTGTCTTGAACAACTGGAGCGGGCCTTGATTGCCATGTGGCCACTTTCCACGTGTTTGATCTCCGAAAAATAAAAAAACTTACTAGCGTCTTCACCCGAATAGAACACCTGGTCATCATAGCCAGATCCGGTGCAATTTTCTGTCCAGATACTTCTTGATGACTGCGCGTTCTATTCTGGTGAAGATGGCACGCACGGAGACTATTCCTTCTCCTTCTCTCGAGGCCGCCCAGCTTATCCTCTCATGATCATAGCGAAGCAAAGTCCTCCCAGAGAGAGGACCCTTGGGAACATTCCCAACCTGCCCGACCACCCCGTGACGTCATCTTGAACCACTAGTACCTCGCCCAGTGTTGGGAAATTAGGGAAAACTGGCAGTTTTCCCAAACTCCTGAAAATTTGGAGGCCGGGCCCGACGACGGCTGCCATTGATAAATCTGATCGGCGGCCGTCGTTTCGTTTCGGCCATCCGAAAAGGTCGGAGGCCCACCCGAGGCCCACTATTTTCCCTCGCGGCGAAGGTACTAGTGGTTTAAGCTTCTCACAGTGTCAGGCCTCACTGGTGCTGAGTTTCTGCTTAAGAGTGCATGAACCTGGCCATAGGAATGATCAGGTTCCCGCCAGCTTCGTGCCGGGCCTGAGCACGAGCCTAAGCTGGCCTGAAGACCAAGAGATCCTCGACATCATGACTTCTCTTTCCCGATTTTTTTTCACTAATTGCATCTTGTCATCCAATTCCTGCCATCTAGACTGATCTCGGCTTTCCTTTCCAGCCAAAAATCAAACACCTTTCCACACCCTCTTCTTTACGCCTTCCTCGTCTTACCTCTCTCATCTTCGACAGTGGCACAACAGAGCATCAGAGGATACCAAGAGCAGTGGTGAAAGAGATGGGAATTTAAAGCGGAAATGGAGAGCAGGGAGGAAACAAAATAGAGATTGCTACGTTCACCTGCCAAACGGTTCCCACAATAAAAGTCACACGGCAAGAGGAGGACAACAAGTACACCAGCCAGACCAAGCATATATTCAGAAGCCAAAAACCTAGAGCTCAATAAGGAGCCCAAAACCAGGTCAGGTCTCGAGTACACATTCCGTACTTACTCGTAGCCATGTTCTCTCTTAACCACCAGACACGTCTCATTGTCAAGCAGCACGCTTACACTTATATGGACCCAGTTTATTTATGTTTTAAAGCATAAAACAGGCACTGTCTGGTCAGTCTCCCATCTACTCCACTGAACCCCCCCCCCCTCCTCTCTCTCTCTCTCTCTCTCTCTCACACACACACACACAGACACAGAGAGGCATCGACATAGATCCACATCCAGACACCGAGACACACACATGAGATACCGGAGCAGACCGGCAAGAATAAAAAAATTCGACAAATAACAAAGCACATAGAGAATCCCACTCCTGACGCCTCATCACTTTTCAGAATAACAAGACATGTCTGCATCCTGAAAAGCGATTACGTAACCACGCCGCAAGCTTTTAGAATTTCATTGTCACCCTCTTTCTTTTCCATCAAAATGAAAATGAAAACGACTCCCTCCCCTTCTCCACCTCCCGCACCCTCCCTCCCCCTCCCCTCTTCAGAAAAACGACCGCAAGACACAACTGACTGGATTTGTTTTGAGCGCTCCCACCCACCATTGACACTCCTCGAACCCCATTCAAAGCGCGTCTGTCGAGGGGTTTAGGAGGAAAAAAAAATTGCTTTGCACCATGCACGCAAGGAGAAGTGCCACAACGAAAATACTGGATCTTCGCAAGAGCCAGGCAACCCTTCCAAGATCCCACAACCCGCGCTTTTACATGAAGTCGTAATCGTCGTTGTCCACGTAGCCCCCATGTCTGTAATCATCATCGTCTGCTTTTTCAATATGCAGCTGCTTCTTCTTTGGCCCTGTGGAACACAAAAGCAACGAAACGACTGCATTAACCACCGATGAATTCACGCCGCACTTCAACATAACTCTGCAAACTTCAGAACACACGACGAGGTTTAGTCTGCGCAACATACAAGTCAGTTTGAACCCAAAAGCGAGTTGAAAGTTGAAACTACCGTCTTCGCCCGAATAGAACGCCCGGTAATCATTGCCGTATCTGGACTGAAAGTTGCACCAAATACAGATATAATTACCGGGCGTTCTATTCGGGTGAAGGCGGTAGCATCTGTAACCAGGAACCAAGTAAAATCACAGGCTCATCTGACGAGGTGTACACGCACTAGAGAAGAGCCGAGCGATTTGGAAGAATGACCGAGAATGACCACAGAAGCAGAATATGTAAGGCGAGCAGGAGGAACACTTGACTCCGCAGCTGTATATCAGACAGCATGCTGATCTCTGCAACTTTGCCAGCGGTTGAAGGGCCGAGCGAGAATGACCAAAGAAGCAGAATATGTAAGGCGAGCAGGACAAACACTTGACTCAGCAGCTGTATATCAGACAGCATGCCAATCTCTGCAACTTCCCCAGCGGTCCAGCAGTCAACTAGCCCCTTGTGCACACCTTTTCATTGTTCTCGCAGACAAAGAGAAAGAAGGAGAGAGAGGACACATGAAGTCAGTTCCCCAACCCCAAGAATCATTCAACACATGTAGTTCGCCAACGGGACGAAGGATTCCAACCATGGACTCGTCGAAACTAGACCACCTTTCCGCGCAAACCACATTCACAAGATAACCCAACACCATGCAATGACATCACAAACAGACCAATGCCAGGACGATACTCGCTGGCCAACATGGAGCACAGTTAATGCCATCGATCACGACAGGTAAACCCTGGTGTTCTCCCCAAGACCTCTTGGTTTTTCCAACCCCAAGGCACCGAAACCATGGCTCCCGCAAGACCTCTTGCTTTTTCCAGCCCCGAGGCAACGAACTGCGAAAGTCTGGGCCCGCACGCTGGTTAATATGGAGCAGTTGATGTCACCGACTCCCCCAAGACCTCTTGGTTTTCCCAGCCACAAGGCACCGAACTGTGAGATTATAGCCCATACTCACTGGCTAATAGGGGTGCAGTCGATGTCATCGATCACGACAGGTAACCCACCACTTCCCGAAGGCCTCTTGGTTTTCCCAACCCCGAAGCGCCGAACAGTGAAAGTCTCCGTGAATGTCTGGGCCTACAGGGCCAAACCAGAGGGGTAAAAGTGTGCATAGGCAAGAGCCAGGATCTTGTTGTTTTTCCCTGACAAGTCGCCCCTCCTTGATCTTCCGCCTTCATTTTCTCAAGATTTTTTTGCCAAAACTTGTGAGCATGAAGAATTGCCAACGTCCGTACCGTCAAGTCAAGTCAAGACTTAGTGCACCGCATAAGCCGATCCTTCTTGCAGCCTGCATCTTTGCTTGACGTCAGGGGCAGCGGCGGTTCCGCATTCATTTGCACGATAACTATTACGACTTTAACAAACGGGTTTTTATTTTGCGTGATAACTTTCACATCTTCACAGGTCTTCAGCAATCGCACAAGTGTCGATCACCAAGCGATCACATATGACTATCGTCTTCACACGAGTGCGGACCGCCAACCGATCAACGCCTGAATAGAGCGCCTGAATAGACCACCTGGTCATTACAGCGTTGGCCGAACACAATAACCAAATCAGAGCAGCTCTTAATGATGTTCCCTTGCTCACTTGACCTAGCTTACAGCCTCAGAGAGCTTCCCTTCCTCCTTATCTTCCTCATGTGCGCTTTTCCTATACGGAGAACTTTCCTTCCTCCCCATCTACGCTTTTCCTATACCGTGGAGAGTACGAATTGAACAAACATCGATGGATGGATGAGTTACCTGCTTTCTTCTTCGCTGCACTGTCCTTTTCGGCCTTCACTTTCTCATTCGTGATCACGCTCAGCGCAGCCCCCAATTCCTTGGTGTCCGCTGCCTTCAGCGAAACTGATGCTAAGCGGATAATTGCCTTCAGCATAGTCAAGTAATGGAAGCTTTTCTGTAAAAGGATCAGACAGACATCCAAGGAGAATGACACAGAGCAACCAAACAGTGGTTGAATAAATGAGCGCGCCAATCAAAATACACCCACCAGGGGAAACAACACCAGAACTCGCACCGGACCGAGCAGCAGTACAACTCATTTGAACAGCACAATCCCGTAATGTGCTTCTCAGAAAGTGAATAAATTAGACAAACCAGGGACTTATCACAGATATCCCTAACGATCTCAGGTGTGTGGTCACACAAGATTTTCCTGGATGCATCTGGCAGACATAACGACCAGTTTCAGTCCACAAAAGTTCAGCAGTTACGGTTTTTTAGGAGCTTTCCTGGAGCGTTCGATTTCTAGAGCACGACAGCCACTCGGAACTGCCCCAGAGACAAAAATAGTAAAACACCCCTGCAGAGGATAAAAGCCCCTTCAGAACATACGTGGGCACCTTCAGAAACCTCGGGTGTAGATTCTAACTGAGTTCTTTTTGGGCATCTCCACACCACTCTCGAAATGCGCAAAATGAGAATGAACTTCCTGCTAAGAACATGGCCAGATGCACCCGCCACATTTGTCTTTTCCACATTTCGAGAGTGGTGTGGCGAGGCCCTTTGTATCCCGCCAACCTGAGCAGAGTACAACTTTCACAGATTCCGGAGCGAATTGCCTTATGTGTGCAGCAGCACATGGCTGTGGCCTTGCCACTGGTGAAATCAAGAGACGCAGCCAAGTACATAAGCCAGACTGAAATAACGATGCGCCAAAGAAGGAAGACGTGAAAGCCGGCACAGAAACAAACAAAAGGCAGCGAAATGGCGCTTTGCACACCCCACTCGCCGTGATGTGCCCCTTCTCTTCATCCAGAGAATTTTCTGTAAAAAGGCAACTGATGTCGCCTGTCCGCTGGAGGGGAGCGAAAAGGACGAGCGCATTTCCCGTACTCACATCGAAAGGAGTCAGCTTGGCAGCAACCAGCGCCGCATACTCCTTGAACTCATCCTCCGATTTTGGAACAAAATCGTCAAGAGACTTCTCTTCCTCCCCCGACTGCTTGAACAAATCCTTCGAGACCATGAGATCTGCCTCCTCGACAAGCCTGCAAAGGACAGCACCGCAATCCACCACCACCACCCCACCCAAAGAGATGCACTTCAGTCAACCCTTCATCTCCAAGCAGGCGAAGCAAGAAAACTAACACACCCCACAGCATATGAAATCAGTCAACCCTGAAAGATGCGAACAGAGCAGAATACCCCTCTGACAAAACATTTTTTTTCACGATATATCCCTGGTGTCCGTTGGACCGCACATCTTTGCAATATACCCCTACCACGTACCGTCCAACTTTGCAATATGTCCCAGTCCAGATTGCGAATTTTCACATCAGCATTCAACTTTCAGATGGGCCTATGAACTCGGCCAGGCGCACAAACGGCCCAGAATTCCCGCAGATCTGATTTTTTTTATGACCATCCCGTGATTTTGGGACGTCCTCCAGCACACCACCACGAGGATAGTGCGACAACAATGTCTGCGGACTCTAAATTTCTAAACATTGTACGAACATATGCATCACACTGATGTAAGTTCGGCATTTGCTTCAGTCATCCCACCTCTCTCGATTAGCTCATGACAATAATAAAAGCCCCACAAAATCCTTCCAGGGACCAAGAATTACCAGATCGGCAATGCAACTCACGCTAGCGGGGTGCATCTCATTAAGAACTAATCATCAAACACAGCTTTAAACCACCAGCAACAACGTAATAAGTGATTTCTATATACTGTAGGACTGCATGTGCCACACTGACTTCAATTCAACATTGGCTTCGGTCATCCCATCCCTTTCCATTTGGTCGTGACGATGACAGAAGCCATCAGGGACTGCGAATTACCAGATTCACAAAGCTACCGACGACCATGCCGTACAGTTCGTTAACCACTAAAAAATAATAAAATACGGTCGTAAGCCACGACTACTTTTCTGACTGCCCTAGTTGGTTACGAGGAGATCCACCCCTTTGCAGTTTGCTCAGATGGACCGACGATCAGACGGTCACAGTCGCTTTCCTTCGGTCTGATGTCGGCCCAGTTTACAAGGAGAAGTGCTCCACGTAAATATAGGTACAAACGAACGCAGTGGCTAGTTCACAAATGGAACCACTTCATTTTGTGCTTATCAGCGTTGTCATTTTTTTGTTTTGTTTTTCTTTTAGCACCAACACACTCACAAGCCCCATCTACTCTGGGGAGTATCAGTCCGGTTGCTTGTCACCAATAAGCATATAGAAGGTATAGAATGCCATTGACTCAGCCAGGGACGGAGACACCCCTCAGCTGTGAGCATCTATTGTTTAAACCCACCAGTACCCCGCCCAGCAAAAAACGTTTTTGCCTTCCTGAATTCATGGAAGACCTTGGAAGGCTTGGTAGGGGCTCGATGGAGCCTCGGCACAGGTGTAGGTGGTAGTTCATTTTGAAAACGAGAAAGAACGACCAGAGACCACAGGAGCAAAAAAAAAAAAAAAGAAGCAGAAAAAAAGGAAAAAGAAAAGTAGCGCTGAGGTCCTGTGAAAGAAAACACCTCTCTGCAAAGCATGGATAGCGGCGTGGTGTTTTGAAACAAACTGGGGCCGCCGCTGTGCTCTCTGTGTGTGCAAATTGATCATGAATTTTCCAAAAAACATAGGAAAGATACAGACATGATTACCACGGCCTTGTCAGAGCTCCAATTTGTCGTTTGTGAATGACAGGCCGTGCATCAAGGATAAAATCTTCGTTTCCCTTTTTTTTCTTTTTTTTTTTTTTTGTTCCTTTTTTTTTTGTTTGTTTCTTTCTTCCAGCTGACTACGTCCGTCGGGTAGGGCATACTCACACCAGGGCTGTCCAGAATGTATTCGACCATTTTTGTGTTTTTTTTTTTTTTTTTTTTTTGGTTGTTCGAGCCCTGCCAGCAAGGCAAAGCGCAGTCGAGTTCTCGAGAAAGGCCCTCACTGAGGGCATCATCACTCATACTTTCCAGAATGTATCTGATCGCTATCACCGCGATATCCTTGTTTCTTTTTTTTTTCTTCTTTTGTTTGGTTCCTCTGCTACACGTCACTCAGGCATAGACGACGGGGGAAAAGAGAGAGATTAAAAGAAAAGCAAAGAAAAAGAAAAAACAGTCTAAATAGTATCGGTCCCTCAACATTGAAGGACCGGTCGCCCGCTGTAGCACTCCTTTTCTACAGCTGCCTCCTCCCGAAACAAAGAGGTTCGGTAGCTCCCAGAAAAAAAGGTTCAAAGGCCTGCTTCGTAAAGTACTGGTGGTTTAAGCAGAACATGCAGCCCGGCGTTTGCTCACCCATGCCCCTTTAGCGAGCAGGCGCCAGCGTACTCAGTCGCTTAGAAAAAAGGGCTATGTGTGTGTCAATTGCCAGTTCTCTGGGAAGATACGGTATTCCCTCGGCTGATGTGCCACGTCAATGCTGTGGCCGCATTCATCTAGAACATGCCGCAAATGTCAAACTCCGTCCCATCGTCAGATCCACAAAACCTTCCTACTCGAGAGAGTGGCCGAGTGGTCAAAAGCGACAGACTGTAACCACTTGTCACACAAACAGCTACCCAAACTGTATTTACCAAAGAAAAAGAACCAGACAAGTCACAAACAGTCAGTTAGGCATACTACTGCCTATACAGAACAACGCATTACCTTAAACCACCAGTACACGGCCCCAGCCTTGCTGAAAAGAAACTCGTCGTTTATCCGGAAAAGTCAGTGCCCGCGCGCCGGCAATCAAAGAAATCAGCGGCAGGGGTCGGCTTTCAGAATCTGACACGGCCCCACGGCCGATGTGAGGCGCGTACTGATGGTTTAAAGCACCAGTACACCACGCATCGGCCCACGGGTGTCAGCACGAAACCCGCACCACTTCGGAGGCCACCGATTTTTTTTTCAACGGCGCCCGACACCGCGCGGCCCCTCCGAGTTTTGCTTGTGGCGACAAAACACTTTCTGCAAGGCTGGGGCCGTTTGCATGCGGTTTAACCCCCGTCCGTCTTCGCATGCTTCCATGGGGCGCAGCGCACCCCCGTAAGCTTGAGGAAATGTCCTACGTATCACAAACCCCTACCAGCAGATCAGTTCCCACAACAATCAATTCAAGCCAGCCCCTAACCAAGTACGACCTCTCCCACTTTTCTTATGCCTATCACCATTGTCGAATTTCATGGTTCTCAGAAATTCACTGTTTACAGAACTCTGTTTCAGCACTTGCCAAAACGCTTGCGAATATCAAGCACATTTCTTGCAACGCAATTCCTTATCATTTCTTTTCAGCGTTAAGCACTGAAGTTTTGCATTCTTCCAAATATCCGGTACATTTTCTGAGCCACTAAGCATGGATTTTCAACAACCATAACAGCCTATTAACAGGGTATAGAAGCCCTTACTTAGCCTCCAAAGGCGCTCCTACAATACCTGAGCCTAATTTCCCCCACGATTAAAAGTTCCACTAATTTTCTTCTAAATCCTAGCATGCCACTGCATAGCATCCCTCATTGTTCATGATCCTGGTTTCTCCCCAATAGCCTGTATGAGCATCAGAATATTTGAGAGTCATTCGACTTGGTAGCGTCGAACATGTAGTTGTCCTTGATGCTCAGGAAAAACACAGTTTCAAAAGACTTGTGGCAAGCTCCTGCTGGGAAAATTTTAGACCAAATCAGGGGCTATATAAACACAGCCAAGTGGGAGTTCGGCCCCAGCATTCGTTTTCTAAAACGGCCATGTCCATGCACCGGTAGCCATGATATCTTTTTCATATCGGTAAATGTTTCACACTCTCGCACAGCTACAACCAGCAGAAAGGTATTATGCAGCTTATTAAATACAAGGAAGATATTCCGGAAAGGAAGGAACTCACCTTTGCTGCCGCAACTTCTCTGCTATGGGATCAAGCTTTACCGCTGTGGCTTTTACAGGCTCCTTTCCTTTCTTGTCCAGCACCCCTTTTTTGCCCACCGGTTTCCCTGGCGCTGCAGCAGCAGCTTCAGCCTGACAACATGCAACCAGCCCGAATCCAATTCAAAATGACATTAACTACATAGAAACACTTCTCTAAACAATGCATGTCATCCCTCCGATAGAAAACTCAACAAATCTGCCCATGTCTTTATATAGCCCCGTCCAGCATGACGCCCAGATAAATGTTTACCACAAACATTTTCACGACTAAGACCATGTCCTACATGTCTGACGCACCAAACGCACTCACAGATACCAAAAAACATTGCTATCATCGTCATTATCAACATCATGCCTAGCCAAGGTACTGGAGACGTAACCATTCTATGCTTGACAAGCAATGGTTTAAAATGTCATGGTGGAACCAAACACCGTCTGCAGAGCCCAGCAGAACATGCTTCCCATCCTTCTTCATGTGATTGTGAAGGTGCTCTCTCTCTCTCTCTCTCTCTCTCTCTCTCTCTCTCTCTCACACACACACACACACACACACACACACACACACACACACACACACACACACACCGGGTCAATATAATGCATCATCACATCACAGTCACTTTGAGAGGCGTGCCTCACAGAGATGGGAAATAGCATGGAACGTTCCTTGAGATCATTTCAAAGGTGACTTGCAAACCCGAATATCAGCCCCTTGCTCAGAAGCAGATCCATTTACCAAATCAACACATCACTCAACCATTCCATCTCTCACAATCAAAACATCCAGTCAATAATGTCCATCCACTACAATAGTCCACAGATCCGTCAACCACGGCATACAATCATGTAAGCAAACTCTCCACCCGATGGCCAATGACTCGGCAAAGTATGTTTCTCAATCTCCTGGCAAATCCAGAACTCAACAATCAACACAACTCATCTACCCACTGACGAGCATTACCACAGCAATTCACAAGTCACTAGAACATGCCAAGTACCATAAAAACCGGCACGAATCGGCACAAATCACCACCGTGATTCTTCCTTTGGAAAAGCAAACATAAAGGCAAACGAAAACTATGACGTGCAAAAAAAAACAGAGCGTCACCGAAGCTGACTGTGATGAAAACAGAAAGATAACCTTCTGCTCCTTGGGCTCCAGTGGTAATCAACGCAGGAGCAACCATAACCTATATGCACAAATTGGCACCCCAAAGTTTTTCGTGTAACCCCTCAGTGCACATCAACGGAAGAAGAATCAGCGGGTGCGTAACTACTTGAAATCCTCCTCTGGTGCCAGATAATCCAGCAGGATGAAGATGTCAGATCCTCCGGCGGCATACTCAGACCAAGCAAATGCATCACAACGCGACTGCCACCAGATTCATCTGGTGTACTCCCAGATTGAAAATGTGCTTCTAGATGCAGAGACGACGAGAGCGTAGGTCCTACTGCATACAGTCTGACCGTGCCCTTATACGCACGGAGACACCATGGAGACATCACGGACAAAGTGCAAATTCAATATTGACCTATTACAAGGAAACGACCGTGCCATAGAAAGATCCTAGAGAAATACACAGCGGATAGAAATTAACATATGAGGGCGATGAATGGCAGGATGGGGACATACAGCAGGACAGATGAACAGAGATGTAGGGGGAGACATGGATGGAGAAATGGATGAAGAAACGTGCACACATGAGGTGGGGCCAACAGGTGCCCAAGAGCAGGACAATTGGAAAGCAATGAGCAATGGAGAGTGGAATGCAAAGATCATCAAGTCCCTGTATATTCATAAACGATGCATCGTGAATAAGGTGGCCCACTACGGAAAAATATATATATAATTCCATTGAATGGATGAACCAATAGGCTGACAAATGGGGACAGATGATGAAAAAGTAAACAGATGATTCCTACATTGCTGGATCGATACGGACAAATAGTCGGCTGAATGAATAGACATCTTGACTGATAGATGCAAATTAACGGATATGTAACAGCTGATTGACAAACAGCTAGATAGCATAGATGGGTAAAAATGTGAATATGTGGGTATTTGTGGGGGGAGGTAGGCAGATTGGTGAATCGGCAATCGATCGCTAGACAGGTAGATGGATGGACAGATTAACAGACCGGGACATGAATAGATGGATGCAACCATAAACGGATAGATGCCTGGCTGGTACGATAAAAAGAAATGATACAGATTGATACAGATCGGAAATATGAAAAACTGTACCATGGCCTGATAAGGCAGTTCACCAACATAAAAACAACAGATCAAATGCTCCATACAACCCGCACTAAACCACCGATTCACACAAACCTAAGTAAGAACTTTTCGATTCACGCCTGAGCTGGTAGTGAAGGCGGCATGCCACTTTGAAAATTTGCAGTTGCAGGCTCACAAGCCTTGGAAGGTGGTATATAGCTCCGTCAACTTAGGCTCGTGCGAGCTGGTGGTTTCACATATTGGTCAACGTAGGCTCGATCGCGGAGGGGAAGGGAAATTGAAGCAAAAATAGTTGAAAACCACGCCTGTTCAGGGAAGTCGGTGAGAAATTTGAAGATAGCATCAATTAAACCAATGTGCGCTCCCCGTTTACACAAGTCCAGTTGTTTCTTCTGCCTTCACAGTTCCTTGCTTGGCTCTCTACATCACCTCATTAGATTTTCGTCTTCCATCTTGCATGCCATAAGCATGCCTGTAGTGATGTCCACCTCACCCTTGTAACGACCAGCAAAATCACAGACTGAGAAATCTGCTGTTTTCTGAGTTTTGCCACTGTAGCGAGTGACCTGCTGAGATTCCCGTATTCTGCTGAGATTTCTAAGTACGTGTGTGTGCATGATTGTTGAGCTTCCGTGTGTTTGCCTGACAGCATCATGTGTCCGACGCACCAGGGTACTTGTGTGCTGAGAAAGGCCCCCAGGGCCTGGTACTTACCTGTGGGCATGCTTTTGTGAGGGCCCAGCGGGATTTAGAGGTAGGCCAGGTCTGTGTAGGTTGAAAACACGCTCAAGTTGCGGGTAGGTAGGCAGAAGAAGACAAAAAGTTTGTACCTTTAGAGGCTGATGTGAATTTAGATTTCCAGTAGGCTTAGAAAAAAGGTACCGGCCCAAGTAGCTGGAGTCTAGAGCCTGCAGGAGGGATATCAGACTACAACGATGTTTTCCTCCGAAACGTGGAAGATACCGGTAGCCTGGGGACGCGGCCCACAAAGTCACCACCCAAAGAGGCAGTAGTCCAGTATATCAAAGCGAAGAGCGAAGAGCTCCTCATTTTGCAGCATGAAGTTTCGGCGTCATACTGGAGGATCGAGCGCTCAGTTTTTTTGCACTGGGGAGGAGGAAGGCGGGCTTGACCCTCCACCTTAGCTATGGTGGAGACGACCAAGGAGGAGACTCTGGGAAAGGAGGAGGAAGACAGTGAGCAAGAAGGAGAGTGGCGGGGGGTGCTTACCTGGCTATGGTGGTCTGCATCTTCATCTTCTTGGTCGGTGCCACACCTTGAAGGCCCCAGTTAGGGTTCGCATCTACAAGGAAGACTTCGGGGTAGTCATAGGCATGGCACCCATTGCGTTGTCCTCTGAGCATCAGACCTTTAATCTCTATCAGTCCTCCATAGCCACCTACTCGGCCAGGAGGAAGGTGTATGAGATGTTTATGATGGACCTGTTGAGTGACTGGCAGTGAGGAGAGGATTCATACGGATAAGTCGGGGGAGTAAAAGGAGGTTGGAGATGGTGGCAAGCTGAAGGGGGATTAACATTGGTCCTTGCTAGTGTTCATCTTTTTCTTCTTCTTCTTCTTCTTCTTCTTCTTCTTCCATTCTTGTTTCGTCCTCTGTCAATTTTTTTCTCCAAGTTCTTTCATTTCAGTTACAAAAAAAACGGCATTGTCTTCTTCTGAGTTGTTGCACTACGAGAGAACCAGGACCCTAACACCCTCCTCTTTTCCTTTCCGATCTTCGTTTTCTTGCTTTTTAGAGGGCTGACTGCATATCTTTGTTTTCTGAATTTTTTTAGGACTGGTTGCATACCGTTACTCTCCGGGGCGGAGGGGTGCATATCGTTACTCTCGACACCTGAGAAATGCGATCAACTATGAGGGGGACGAAAGGGGGGGTGGGGGAGGAGGAACACCTTCCCTTTCCCACTGCACTCCACTTCAAACAGAAAAGAACACCTCCCCTTTCCCACTGCACACCTTTTCCAAGAGGAAATTAAAAATAAATAAAAAAATCCTTTTTTCCTCTGCACTCCTTTTCAAGCAGCTATCACGCAATGAGAAGATGGCCCCTTCCAAAGACAGGTCGGGGAGGCATAGGAGAAAGCAGAATTCAACGAAATGTAACACCAAACAATTGCGCAGTCCTCACATCATCTATGCAGAAAAAAAACAGATGGAGGCGACGGTCAAATATTGCACACTGACCACCAACAACAGGCTGCAGATCAACTTGCTGTCCAGATGAGGCAAAAATTACCGGGCGCTCTATTCGATTGAAGACGGTAGTGCAAGCATTTGCCTCGAATGCAGGTAGATGAGCGGCGCAAACCTCAACAGCCTATCCTATACTCAATGGCCTACTAACACGTGGACTTTCCCAGCTGTGTGTCTGACCTTAATCACGTCCAGAGCTGAGTGAAAAAAATCCTAGTGCGAGTATATACCCGCAAGCACGACGGACTCTCTCTCAACGGGGCTCCTGCTTGACAGATGCGATCGCTCACAAAAAAGTGCCAAAAACAAAAAAAAAACTCCATTGGAACAACAAGGGAGGTTAACAAAGGGGAGGGACCGTGCAAAAAAAAAAAACACTCCATTGGAACAACAAGGGATGTTAACTAAGGGGAGGGACACTGTCAACGTACGGCTGGTTTAGGGGGTTCGTCATCTTCCCACGACTCCTTCACGTCGTCGTCCTCTTTATCTTCGTCATCCCATACCGACGCGGGCTTGACAACGCCGACCCCTGGCGGAGGTGGCGCATACTCCTCATCATCTGCTAATCACAAACAGCACAAGAAGCAAAGGACACAGTCACCACCGGCGAGAGGTGAGCAAAATGAGCGGCGGGAAAAGGAACAACGGTCAACTTCATAGCATCAGTTGGTGGGAAAAGGAACGCCGATCAGCTTCATGACATCATTCATTTTCCGCCGAGTTTCCGCGGGAATAGGAACGACGCTCAACGTGATGGCATCATATACCTGGCACGTGATCTCTAGATGACTCCTAAAACCGCGGGAAAAGACGGACAGCACGGCAAAACACGTACTTAAGCACATAAAAGGCGGGAAAGGAACGCCAACGCAGCAAGACAAGACTCGTCAGCTGAATGCATACACTGGCTTCCTCACCATGTCGTCGTCCATTTCTCCCATGCTGGCCGCAGCCATCAGCACTGGCCATCAATCTGGCCATCAATTTGGGCATTATTGATTATACTACTCTACAGCATCCTCTACATCTGTCTGCCCGCGTGTCTAGTGATCAACAAATTTGATGGCCCGTAGGATACTAGCCAGGCCGCCCGGATCACCTCGTTTGCCCGGGCGGCCGGCCGTGCAAGGACCAAGGAAGGTCCTAGGAAAAAACAAAAAAAAAAAACAAATTTGAAGAAAAAAAAAAGTCATGCAGAAAAATAAACTGAACAACTTTCGCCTCGAGGTCACACATCGAAATTATTTACCAAAGTTTTTTTTTAAAAAACTTCTTTTTCTTGCCCGGCCGGGCAAGTGGTCCCGGGCGACTCTGGTAGCCTAGATTGGCCCGTCTTTTCGAGGTCCCGTCCGTTCTATCCCTCGTCGTCCTTCCGTATCACTATAAACTAAGCAGTCGATGAAAAAGAAGAAGCGGAGGACGATAGAGAGAGATCAGCAGGGGGGGGGGGGGCAAGGGCTTGATTAAACGAGGGTGTTTGGGGGATTCCATGAAAGTACGGCGAGGAGAATGATGACAATAGCCAAAATCCCAATAACATCGACGACGACATGACAGGAAAAAAACAGCGAAGAGAGGCGGAGGGACGAGAAAGACAACTATTCACTTGGGCACTTGGGCGAAACAAACGGAGAGATCGATGCACTGATGGTTTTGTCGAACCTTTAGTGAACACCTCGAGAAACAGAGAGATCGAAGAGGGAAAAAAAAAAAGAAAAAAAGAAAAGAAAAGAAAGATCGAAGAGGAGAAACAGAAAGATCGAAGAGCAGAAACAGAAGGCAAGGAGAGAAGGAAGGACGAAAAGGACAAGGTCGACAAGCGGGAAGAGAAGGGAAAAATCAGGATGCGTGGGGAGGAAGGGAAAGGAGAGGAAACAAGGGACAGAAGAAACGAGAGGGTGCGGGGCAAACCGGAGGGAGGAAAGACGAGAGGAAAGCCGACACAGATGAGGAAAAAAAATGAGAAAAGAAACAGCGGAGAGAGGAAGAGAAAGGTTGGACAAAGAGAGATGACGTAGGGCCAACAGAGAGAGTGTGGCGACCAAAGCGAAATAAGGCGTAAGGCAGAGAGAAGAGAACGCGTAGAGGTGAAGTAGAGAGCAGACGCGGCGCAGCAAATGGGTGAGGTGAAGCAGACAGCGGAGTCAGTCGCCTAAGAGAAGAATATGCGGGCGACAGGAGGACAAAACCGAGCTGCGGCGAAACGACACGATATGTGCAAAAAGGACTACATAACGCACCCTAAAAATGAATGAATACGAGTTAAATTTACGGCCAGATACAGCCAAAATGAGGGTGCGTTGTGTTCGGGGGAAGACGGTAGTGGCGGCAAATGGAAACTGACGGCCACGAAAGGGAGCGGCGCAACAGAGAGAGAAGCACGTCAAAGATGAAAGGCGCGATAAAGCGGAGAGGCGCGACAAAGAGCGGAGGCGCAATAAAAAGAGGAAGTGCAGCAAGGATTAGAGGCGCAACAAAGATGAGACGCGAAACGAGGGGGAGCGGCGAAGTGCAGAGCAGAGGCGCAACAAAGGGGAGAAGAGGCGCAACGAGGAGCAGCGGCGGGGTGAAGGAAAGAGACGGCAAACGGAAACGGAGCCCCCGCGAAAAAGAGAAGCAAACAACGGGGGTGGGAGAGGGGGGCAAAAACGGCCGAGCGCGAGATAAAGAAGAAATCAGACGGGAGCGAGGCGGGAGCAACACATACAAAAGCGACGAAGATGTGAATGGATTGCCTAAGATGTGAATGGAGCATAGGATCGAGACAACGCAATACGGAGGCGACCTAATCAGAGACTAATGAGGGGAGCATGACGACGGAGACGACGAGCAGGGATGGCCACCGGGAGTAGACGACGATGCGGACACGACGAATGGGAAACGGCAGGGAAGACGGCGATAAGAACCGATGAGGAAGATGACAGGTGCAAACGGCGGGGAACAATCTATAGAGGACGACAGGGAAAAGCCGATGGGTAGGACCAGAGGATAAGACGACGGTCACGGGAAACAGACACAGCAACGACAGGGAGAAGCTAGAGGGGAGGAGAAAACGGGGCAAGGAACGACGAGGGAAAATGACTGGGGTTACGGACCCAGAATGGGGGATCGGGGGGGACGGGGGAGGGACGGCTTGACAGGTGGGGGAGTGAAGGGGAAACCGCGCAGAGAAATGACGACGGGGCAAGACAACAACAGGGGAGGCAACAGGTGGGCGACGGGCGATAAAGGAAGCAGACTGTGGTGGGACGGAGAAGGGAGTTAATCAAGGGTGGACATGAAGGGAGAGAATGGAGAGAGTATGGAGCGAGAGCGCCGAGTGAGATGGAGGGAGGAGGGAGGGAAGGACACGAGTTCGGGGCAAGAGGATCGCGGAAAGAAGACCGGGAAACGGGGGGATGGGGGAGGAGATGGGGGAAGAGAATGGGGGAGATGGAGGAGAAAGAAGGGGATAGGAAAAACAACAATTCAGAGAGGATGGCACCACAGGATGGCGGCGGCAGAGAACGGCGATAGAGGACGGAAACAGAGGACGAGGGCAAGAGGAGGCAGAGGACTGGTCATGGGGGAGATGCATGGGGGCAGTAGAAAATGATGCCCGAAATTTAGGCAGAGAACGAGGGCAGAATTGGGGGCAGGAAATCGTGCCACGAGATCGGGACAGAGGATCGGAGTAGAAGGTGAGGGCAGAGGGCAGGGTCAGAGGACGCGGGGAGAGGGCGGGGCCAGACGACGCGGGGAGTAGGCAGACGGCAGGGGGCGGCGACGGGGACAGGACGGGGTGAGAGGATGGAAGCAGAGGATGGGAGAAGATGGGGGGAGGTTGGGCAAAGAGAATGGAGTGAAAAGGATGGATCAGAAAATTAGGGAAAGGATGGTCGAAGGGGATGGCAGGAAAGGAAGATTGAAAAGAACGGGAGGACGGGTAGAGGATGCGGGGAGAGCACGCGATGGCAAGAGGGGAGAACAACGGGAGGAGCGCACGAAGAGGGCGAGATGAGCGCGGGGGAAGATCACACGGGGAGAGGCAACCGGAAGAGCACACGGAGAGAGGCGACTGGAAGAGATCACGGTGAGAGAACGGCGAGAGAGCGGGGATAGCGCTGGGAAAGAGCTCACAGAGGCAACTGGAAGAGACCACGGTGAGAGGGCGGGGAGAGACAGCGGGGAAGAGCTCGGGGGAAGAGCGCCGGGAAGAATCTTAGGCGACGCCATGGAGAGAGTTGAGAGGGGGTAGGGAAGCGCGCGGTAGAGCATGTGGGAATAGCATCGAGCGACAGCGTCGAAGGTAATACTACGGGGAGAGCGTGGGTAGAAAATAGGGATTAAACATGCGGAGTAAATGAGGAAACAGCATGGGGCGACAGCATGTACGGGGGCACAGCATGTATGGGGGGACAGCATGTACGGGGCCACAGCATGCATGAGGGAAGAGCTCGTACGGTTGGAAGAGCATGGGGGGAGAGCATGGGAAGAGAGCATAGGAGGGAAGCATGGGGGGAGGGCATAGGGGAGAGTATGGGGCGAGAGCATGGGGGAAGAGCATGGGGGCGAGCGTGGGGGCGAAAGCGCAGCAGGAGAGCGCCAGTGGAGAGCGCGGGGGAAGAGCGCCGGAAAGAATCTTAGGCGCGACCATGAGGAGAGTGCCGTGTAGAGTGCATAGAAGAACACGCGGAAGAGCATGTGGGGATAGCATTGGGGGGCAGCGTCGGAGGTAGTCCTAGTCGGAGAGCGGGGGTAGAGCACGGAGGTAAAACATGCGCGAGTAGATGAGGACAGCATAGGAAGAGCATGAGGGGAGAGCACGCGGCCAGAGCATAGGATACAGCGTGGGGGAAGAGCAATGGGGGCGAAGATGAAGGGAGAGCAAAGGAGAGCATGGCGGGAGAGCATGAAGGGAGAGCATGAAGGGAGAGCAATGGGGGAGAGCACGGGGGGAAGAGCATGGGGAGAAAGCATGGGGCAAGAGGCGAGGGCATGGTGGGAGAACCTGGGGGAAGAGCATGGGGGGAGAGCATGGGGGCAGAGCATGGGGGCAGAGCATGGGGAGAGATTATTGGGGAAAAGCATGGGGTGAGAGCATGGGGTGAGAGCATGGGCTGTCTCTTATACACATCTAGATGTGTATAAGAGACAGGGCGCGCACACACACACACACGCACACATACACACAATAAGATAACACACACACACACACACACACACACACACACACACACCCTCACGCACGCAGGGCAACTGCCCATTTTGTTTTGCTACCAGATTCTTTTTTTTTTTCCTCTTTTTGTTGTCTTTTATTTTTTTTTAAATCTTCTGTAAGGCCAAAAAATAAAAATAAAAATATGGGGTTGTAGATCGTTTCGAGATCTAGATCTACAACCCCATATTTTTTATTTTTTTTTGCCCCTATAACACCATCAGACGGCTTTCGTCCGTACGCCCGAACGGCCGTCCGTCCGTCCGTACAAACGGGCCGTACGGGGACCCCCCATAGGACGTACGGGGGACGACATGGCGCAAAGACAATACAAGGTCAGATTTGCTTATCAGGATCCCAGC